AACAAGGAAAAAAGGAAAGAGAAGAGGAAACCAGAGGGGTTCAACAACGAGTTCATCATCCTCGATTGGCAACGATTTCGTCCTCTAACTGCGATAAGCTGGAAACATCCCAAATTTTTGTAATAAATTATTAAAGATATTTTAATTAATTAATTGGAATAATATTGTATTTTGAGTGATATTTTTTTAAAATAATAATAAATATTATTTATTTGTTTATTTTTAAAATAGTGAGAGATAATTAATTAAATTTTTGCCGATAGGCTACGCATGGATTAGAGTTAACATTTTATTTAAATGCGTTAGTAAGACTTAGAATTGCCTCATTTCACAAATTAATTAGTTTGTCTTGTGATTTGAAGAAAGAGGAGAACCAAAGGTTGCTCTAGAAGAGCTTGAAGATCCAAACAAAGATCTTAGCACCCATCAAGGTAAGGGAGGAGTAAAAATCCTGCTTCGGGTATGAGATAATCGTTAGATAGCAGGATTGACCCCTAATTATAATATTTGTGATCAAAGTTCCTTAAATGCAATTATGATATAATTCAAAATTAAATTCCCTTACCTTGCAATTATAAGAGTAAATTTAATTTGTATGTGTATATTTGATCTTTGTTGTAAATATGTACTAATTGTATATTTTGTATATGCTTGTGATTTGTGATTTTGTTTTTGATTCCCTAGAATTATCTATTTGTGAATATGTGAGTGTATGTCGGTTTTCGGGAGAACCCTAAGAATGAAAATACAATTAAAACAAATTATTAAAGAAATAATTAGTAGGAAACCCTTTAGAGTAGAAATAATTAATTATACTTACCCTTGACTTCATATGAATTCATGTAATGTGATGAGCTAAGTATATGTATAATTCATAATTATGTAGAGTGTGATGTTACTGATATCACGTCGGACGCCACAATGGGGTTGTTAGGCACGAAGACAATAAAGAACCCTTTAGGGCAATCATGCCGGGCATGAGAGTGATAGAATGCTTGTGGCCTTGTCCACACTTGGCGTGAGTTTTGTCACATCGAGCGTGGTAGCTCTAGGAGCTCCCTGTTGTGATCTCGTTGGGTGTGGGTAGGGTCACATTGGGCGTCATCCTTGTAGAGGCTCTTGATCTCGAACACGTCTGATGTAGGGTAAGCCACACTAGATGCTACCCTATTCTTGAAACTTATTTATATATTTGATTGATTAATGTATGTTAATTAATTATTAGATAACCCTTGTGAACTAATGAATGAGATAATTGTGTGCATAGAATTGGAGATTGAGAATGTGAGTGGTATTAATATGAACGCACGATATAGTGGAATATGTAAAATGTAATAAGTGTGAATTGTGAATTGTGAAACTTTGAGAATATGAATTTGTGACCATGCATAAGAACTTGTATGACATGAATCATTTACATAATGTGTTTTGTGTTGGATACAATGCGAAATACGTTGTCAGGGAAGATTTCTCTTATGTAAAATCTTAGAGATTCCATGATCTTGGGAATAACTAGAGTTAGGAGTTCTAGTCTCATCACTTTTGTGTGAATGAGATGAGATTTGGGCCAACATAGCTATCGTGACATACCATTGGTGTATTTTCTCTTAATGTAGAATGTTGTAATGGCTTGACCTGACATAAACTTCTAAGTTGCTCAACCTTTGGATATTGGTAAAGTGTTTTACTAGTGTCACATGCATGTAGTTAGGAGAGTTTTATCCTTGCATGAGCATAACATACCCTTGTGTTTGAACTATGACATTAATGTGATGAGATAAAATGTAATTAGATGATTATTAACTTGATTGCTATATATTGTTATCAATGGGACAATTAATGCTTATTATTGTATATTATGTTGAGTTGTTGTATGTGTATGGCTACTCGATCATTCCTTTTACACCGATAGTCAGAGTGAGATATATTTTCACTACTCTATTTTCTTTGTGTCTTATTTTGATATGTTTATGCAGGTAACTTTAGTTTTGAAGGAGTTTGAATTGTTAATGGAATTGCTCTAATAGGATGTGGCATCGAGGCTTTAAGATTATTTTTCTACCATTATTGGATTAGAATGCTAGTTCCTTTTCTTAGAAAATGTTCCCATAACATTTGTTATTCCTTGTAATCACTTTAGTTTTAATCATGTTATTTTCTAGAGTTTAAAATGTGATACCTTTTATCCTCAGTTTTTAATTAATTATTAAATGATATATTTTCAACCTATTATTTATATTATTGTGATTATGTATGAGAAGTAGAGAGTATCACATTGCCCTCTAGTGATAATCACATGTGTGGTCAAAGAAAAAGGGAAAAACAAAGGAAGAAGAGAAGGGGAAGAGGGAGAAGGGAAGGAAAAGAGCAAGATAGACAATGAAACATATAGGGAAGGGAGAAAGTTCTGAAGATTGGAGAAGGGTTGGGTGGAGAGAGAAATGAAAAAATAAAAATAAAATAAATAAAAAGGAAGAGAGATGTTGCAATCTTGGAGAGAAGTAATAAAAAAAATATATTATTATGTATTCTCAAATTTTCATTGTTTAATTTTTTAGAAATTGAAAAAAATGAAATTATTTTTTAGAATCAATATTTTAATATGTAATAATCAACCTTTATATATTAAATACGAATCATTATCTTGAACGAAAGTATTTTTAAGAAGTTTTCTTGAATGAAAGGATTTTTATGAATTCTTTTAACTTTTATCTAATTTGATTGTTATTTATCATAATTATTATGAATTAGAGATTAATATTTTAAAATAAATGATAAAAATTTAAATAATTTTGTACTACAATATAAATTATTTATCATAAATTTAAATATAATTTATATGTTAAAAATGTTTATTTATACAAACTTTGAATATAATTTATATTGTCAACCATGTTATTTATTTATATAAATTTATTATAAATTTTAATTTTATATAATAAGCATACATGGGTTTTGCACCGACAAAAATATTAATGCTAAAAATATTTTATAAATTTATAGGTATCATAATCAAGTCAAAAATTTTAATATATATAATTATGAGTTTCTTAAAATATGTTAGAATGTCTTTCATTGAAGTAAAATTAAGTATAAATTATTTAATGAAGAAATGATATAGTAAAAATTATCAATCATACTACAAAAAATGTTACATATAGTGACTTACAAAAAGTGTCACTATAAGTACAATATATGTAAGTATATGTCTAATTAACATATAGTTACATACAATTTTAATGTTGATTTTGAATGAGATTTAACAACATATTTTGTGTGTCACTATAGTCTATACCCACACTTTCTAATAATATACCAACATATATTTTAGTTATTGTGTGAGTAAAAATAATTTTTAGTGACATGTATAGGTATCACTATATGATAATTTTCTTGTGGTACATCTTTACATACACTAAACTACTCATCTAAATTGTTCTTACTAAAGTCATATCCTTAATAGAATTTTTCATTGATAAAAAATGTTTATAAAATTGAGTAAGATACACGTTTAATTTCCACAATTCAGCAAGATGGAAATAGGCTTAGAATTTCATAAGACTGAATCTTATCTTAATTAAAAATCTTACCTTATTAAAAATACATAGTACTCTAGATTAGATCATTTATGTATCATAGCCCTTTAAACCTTTTAAAAAACTTAGTCTAGTCTATATAGTTTATTGTAATAATTTAACATTAATGATAGGTTCGAAAATAAATATGTTAGATTGTATAAAAATTGAATGTAACATGATAATATAGTATAAGTATATTTTTATGATATAATTAATATGACATTCATAATGATAATTTATAAATCACTTTTTATAAAAATCAACATATTTAACATTAATATATATATAATTTATTTATTTATAATAAGCAAACTTCGTAACAAAGAATTTACAACATAATTTACATACACTATTCAACTAATTAAAGTAAACTATAATTTAATATAATAACATCAACAAAGAATATTTATTTACTTTATTTAAGTAAGTAGGTCTATTAGATTTAAAAGACTTTTTTAATAGTCTAATCATACCTTTTCATCTTAATAGACTTTATTAATAAAAGTTTTAAGCTTGCTTGTTGTTTAAAAAAACTCAAACTTGGTGATCTAGAAATGATGCAGGCTTCTAGTCTATAAGCTTGTGTCAAACACCAATTTTCATCCCTTCATCTCAGCTATAGCGTCCCCCTTTCTCAAACTTTTCAAAATTAGTCGATAAACATGACAGCATCTGTACAACCTATGCGTAAACAATCAAGCTGCTGTTGCTCATACCAGGCTGCAACAAATTAAAATTGAAAATCAACAAATGAATTTGAGATTAATAATCTTTAATTTTATGCACCTATTTTGTGTATTTAAAATATATACTCTCATATATAAAAGAAAAATACCTTGCATTTTATCACCTTACTTCAACGAGAAATGATCGATCTTTACTTGACAAATAATATAGTTTTTCAATTTAGAATATGTTATTTTTTTTTTCTTCAATAAACATGGTTTATATAATTAGTGTTCAAAAACTGACAATTAAATATTAATCAGCATTTATTTAGATCTTCTTTGAACAAATATTTTTAATTTTCAATTATAGGATTGACCTAAGAGCTAGGTAAATAAAGTCCTCACTTAGACTCCCTTAAAAAAAATATTTATACACTTTTGTTAGAGTTGTATAACTTAAATTTTTTTTTTCATTTTTAAAAATTCACTTTAAAGGTTCATCTCTAAAATATATATAAATATAATTATTTTTCTCAAAATTTATCTCTAAAATATTTTTATTTCTTATCAAAAATGTTATTATTAATTTTAAAAAATCACATTATAAGATTTACTTTACCCCTAATAATACGTTAGTATTTTCATATATTATGTTATGCCTTATTTACTTAACATCTATATTGTACTATATATGTCATTTCAATTTACTATATGTTATGAAAAGATTACTTAACCTTTATTTTTCTCTTTATTTCTTCTTTTCAGAAATGTAGTTTACATACATCCAGGTTAAACATATAATTTATTTCCTACACATACTCTCAATTTGATCTCTCTATATAAAAATTCATTAAATTGATCGACATATACTTATAAATAATATCATTGACTTGATCCTGATCGACTAACTTCATTACACATGGTGAATTTAATTCTTACACAATATTAAGAATAATTTTTTAACAAATATAAAACTGATTTACTTTAATAATTTTTTTTATAGAAATAAATAAAATAAAATAAAAAACTAAATTATATCGTGGAGTGAAAGGAAAAGTGAATATTTGAAGGGTAGGTTTACGTGACGTACTTGTCGCAGCGCATGGTGAGACTGAATTGGTAGGGCAAGTTAACGCCACACTTAAACGGAAGGCTCCCATACGCTGTAACGTTAATGTGCGGAACTTTGAGAGCAGCGTCTTGAATGCAATGGCAAGCTAGTCGCTGATTCTCGCTAGAGTTCATAACGGTGTTTCTGAGGGTTAAAACGTTCATGCAGCAATCTAGTGGGATCGTGTCTCCACCCATTTTCACGTAACTCCCGCATGCATCCAGAACGGGTTTCACCTCGCAGCATGTGAACTCCCCCATGGCTGCAAAGGGTGCACCCAACGCCATCATGCACGCCACCACACCCAACCAACTCGCCTTCGTAACCGCTGCGCTACCCATCGTATTTTCGTCCATGTTATGAGGGTATAATATTGCTTAGAAAGTAGAAACTCTTCAAAGGGTGACTTGAGTTATATATATATACGTACGTTATATATATGAAGATGAGATTTGCTTTGTGAAAACCGTGAAAGATGGAACTTGGAATTCGGGAAACCGTAGCTATAGGTGGTTGATATATGATTCTTTAGGTGTTTCTTCTGTCTATTTTTGGAATGTTATGTCATGACTGCTTGAAAACAAATGAAAGAACGTATATATGTTGGGCTGCGCAGAGATTCTCCATTTTGAGTCTTGCCAAGGAACGAGAAACCCACCAGATATATCATCAATCAAGGTTTTTCTTTTTCCTCAATAAAGTCGATAATTATTTTGTATTATTAATAACATGATTATAAAAAAAGAATAAAAATAATATATTTCTATATATATATATATGTATTATATAATGCATAAATATATAATAATCAAAAAATTGAATAGTAATATATCCAAGAATTTTGACATGCAAGTTAAATTTAACTATTTTTTTATGAAGTATTCACCATAAAAAATTATGACTAATTTCTGTTAAAAACTTTGAGTATACACAAAGTGGGTTGGTATTCCCTTCTAACATAATATATTTCATATCTAATGCCAAAAATTTAAATTCTGAACAATTTAATTAATAGATACAAACCGCTACTAGTTATGTAAATCGATATTAGTTTTAACTATTTTATTTTAATTCTTATAGTTTGCGAACCATTATTTCAGTCTTATGTTACTTATTTTTAATTTTCATATCAGCATCTCAATTGAATGAGTATATCTTTCGGACATTCTCAATTATATTGCATTCAGGTTTCTTTTCAACGTTCTCAATATGTTGCTGTTGTATAAAGTAGAAAGGTGTTATATACTGATATACATCTACATGTCTTAAATAATCAAGGAAACCAGGGGAAAAAAATTATAATATTTGAATTTTCTTTACTGTTTTTTTGCCTTCAATCCCAAAATTAATGAAATTAGTCAAATTACCTTGTGAAAAACATTACAAATAGGCCAATAAGTAAATTTGGTTACATAACTCTAGATGCACAAATTTGTGCATCATGCTCCAAGCGAGTGCAACTACGTATAAAGTATAAAGATATGCACAATTGTGCAGGGAATGAATGCCCCACAAAAGAGTCCGATAGAAGATAAGGATGTTGAACTTTTCTTATTCCCTTTCCTTGTCTGTCTGTCTGCTACCCTCTTGTTTCCTTGGTGGAAACAAGTTCTAACTCCCATGAAATATATGCAGAAAGTTCTACATGCACAACTTTTCACGTCCAAAAGGCACACCTCCTAACAGAAGCAATGGAAAGTGAACTAAATCAGTAATTCAGCAACGAATATTTCACCCTCAGAACAATTTTCCCTTTCTCAACACCAAGCTTTCCACCAGTGACTAACCAATGGCCAGGAGGATCCTGTGGCCCTTTGCACATTTCGGACAAATCAACATACTTGAACAACTTGTTCTCTGAGACATTCTTTTTGGAACCAAGTCTTGAGCTATCAGAGTTGGGGGTGTGATCCCATATTGATCTTCTGATTGTGCAACCAGGTAGCCTTGAAAACAAGAGCTTCATGTACAACACATTCCGTGACCCGAAATCCCACACACCAAGCTGCGCCCCCGTGACAGCAGAGACACCAGAGAAGTCCTCAGTAAACGTTTCAGGATTCTCAATTGGTGCGGTGCACACATGAGAAAAATTCTTCCACTTAACCGGCTCGAACCACCGGCTGTCTTGTTCCTCCGGTCCCTGCCACTTGGGAGCACCAATGGCTACATCGGTGTCCCAATATGGCTTAAGGATCTTTGGCAAGGACGTCAAGTGTTGAACATGAACACTCAACCGATTCTGCTTGCTTCCATCAAGATACAGACGTAAGCCGGTAGTTGGTTTACGTCCAACTGTGATCTGCATATATAAAGGAATATACTAAGTTATAATCTGTGTAGATAAAAGTTTATAAGCGTTTTTAAGAATTCTCTACTGTTAAGTACTCTTTATTTTCAGTAGAAAAGTTCTCAAAAACGTTTTTAACTGTCTTCTTCACTTTGATGACTTCTGAATACAACATATAGCTTGTAACCATATATCTTAATATGAAGGTCAAATTGCGCTGTATAAATGCAATTAAGATAATAATATTTTAGAATATTCAACAGAGGTGGAATTGTGTTACTTAGCAGAATTGTGTTAAATCACAGTTTAAGGTAAATGATCTCATGAAGTAAGGTTCACATTTTGCATTGAGTAAAACTGATTATAAAAAGTATCGATATAGTTAATTCATCATTAGTCCTTTACAGCTAATCTTCTCTCTTGTTCATGTAACACTGTACTCCCCTCCCCCAATCCTTCCTCCTTTTCTAGTCTGAACCCCATAACTATCATTGACTTGTTTAGTAAAGACAAAGTGTTATATTGCTTCCAAACTATTGTGACTTAAAGAAAAACATTTTGGCCGCAAAAAGCATTTTCTTTGTGGAAAAGATGCAACCTAATATTATCAGTTAAAATTACAGCACATAAAAAATGGATATTAAAATCAAGTATGTGCCGACTCAAAGTGAAAGGCATTATTGAAGTAGGGTCGGCCCAAGTATAAGGTAGTTCAAGCATAAGCTTTAGGCTTTCAAAATATTTTTTTTTACTTATAAAACTTAATTAATTAATTGTATTAATACTAGTTTTGGTTTGTTAATTACTGTCTAAACCTAGCATTATAAGGACTGAGGTTCAATTCTAGTATTATAATTTTTGTAAAAAGTTCCTTTTTTTATAAGTGACTGTTAATTTTCTTGTCATTCTCTCGTCTTTAAAAAAGTTTAACTTCAAAATTCGTTTTATGTCTCAAAATATTTTAGATCGGTCCTATATTGAAGTGCAATACAGTCACGAGTCAAAATAATGTTTATAACTGAAACTTAAAAGTGTGAAACCAACCGAATCTAGAGAATCATTGTGACTAAAAACATAGCATTGGGATACACAAGAAGAATCATGAGAATCATTATAACTAAAAAAGTATAGCATTTGAATTCACATGTTTCCTTTTTTCTTTGGTTGAGTTATTGAACGTGCAGAAGCCTGCAATGCTTAAATCAGTGGTATAACCCAATGGAGCTGATTCGACCTCAGAATTATATCTCACCCAACTACTCACAGTAACAAACAGAAGTCCTCTCCCCAAAGTAAGAAAAACATGTAACAAAAGCAAGGAAATAACCTATCTACACAAAAACTGAATTACATTACATTAATTTATGCCCATCCAAATGAATCATAGCTGGCACAGGATCAGGAGTTTCAAAGCTCAACAAGAAAATGCCATAAAGAATCCTTTACCTGCTCTTGGCTAACATAAAGTTTCTGCCCCATTATGCTGAAAAGCAAATATGGGCACAAAGGTTCCTTCCTTTGATATCCAGGAATCCTGTCTTGAAAAGGAGCCCAAACGCGAGTAATTTGAAACTCTAAGAAATATCTAAGTTCTTCGATGGGAGGTTTATCTGCACAAGCAATCAACGTAAAGGGGGTGACAAAACAAGCGGTTAATACATTAGATTAAATTGCAAGAGTCAGTTTGGATATAAATTAAAAATGTTTTTGAGAATTTCTCTAATGAAAATAAAAAACTATTTCTAATAAAAAAAAAATTCTTAAAAACACTTCTAAACTTATATTCAAATAGATTCCAGAGTAGACAAGTAGCTAGTAGAAAAAATTTCATCTCATCTAAAATAAAGGATAAACTAGCTTACATTCAAGATAGAGACCAATAGCACGAGTCAAATGCTCCCTTCCAGGTACTTCATCAAGGATATCTGTTATAGGACAGAAAGTCATCTCAATTACATCTGGGGAGGACCAAACTGTTCTGACCCACATAATGTGGTTTTGTTCCAAATCATCGCCTCCTCTCCTTCTGAAAATGACTCTGACATCCTTAGTGTATTCAAGAAAGTTAAGAGAAAACTTGTATCAGAAAATTGAGAAGATGAGATACAGCTTACCCCAACTTGATGAGACCAAATATCATAATTCAAAATAGAGAAGACTACCATAAAAATACATTTCGAAATCGATTGATAAAAAATACATCAAAAGTATCTAAGTGCTCTATTTATAGAGCTTATTATGATGTATAACAACTTTCTAACAAACTAAATTATGTTTTTAACAAACTACTCTTATCAACTTGAACTGTGTTCAAAAAACCAACATGCAGCTACTAAAGATCAAAAACTGTAAAAGGCATGTAAATATCACTCCTAACAATAAGTATGAATTCTTCCAGTATAGGCCAATGCTTATGAAAGGACTCCAAATAGATATCAAAAATATCAAATGTGCATTACATACCAAAATGTAAAGTAGGGGAAAACAGATAGCACATAGGTGCATTGAGGGAACGGACAAGTGCAGGACTTCAGAAAGGGATGGAAAAATTGATAGTGGTTTCTCCCATTATGATGAGATATAACCATGTCAAAGTTCTGCACTGGAACAGAACCGAAGACCTAATTTGTTTCATGCTTAAAAACCTAAATACATAATAGATGACACTGGACTAAGTGCCTATAGTTTATCTACCGGTTCTTGCTTCCAAATTTGAACGGCAGGTCATCAAAATTCCAAACAAGTTTAAATAACTAAAATTATGGATCATTGCAAATTTTAGCTTAAAAATGTTTCAAAAAACATATATTGCATGCTTTCGCAGTTAGATGAGTTTCATTTTTGGGTTGGGGGTGTTGATGATTGAATGAAAAGGGATCAACAACCTGCAAAGTTAGATAATTAAAAAAATAAGAAATGTATTTCTTGTTATCAAGAACATGAATCAAATTACTAAAAGGAATCGGAATTAAAATGGAACTAGCCTTATCCTTGGATTTTGTTTCAGGTGAACATGCATGGTTATTGATGTCAGAGAACCTCTGATTTCCAATGTCTTGAATGTAGTTCTTTATCTCCAACGTTGACAAAGGTGAAGTATGGTGTTGTTTAACATAAATAACATCCTTACCTCCAATAGTTACGGATGTAATGACATGTGTCCCAAAGTTTTCAATAAAGCTATCAAAATAAAATTAAAGGTCAACAGTCTCAAGTTATATATTTTGTTACTGCATTCTGTGGATAACTTGTACATACATACCTTGCCAAGGATGGCGGATCCCATTTGACTGGGATGGCCCTTTTGACATTTTCTTGCAACATCAAGTGAGAATTTACAAGCCGAACTTTTGCAAGGGGAACGTAAAACCCATCTGAAGAAAGGGATTTTGTCTCAGATGCATCAATGTGTTTTGAAGCAGTGAAGCTAAACGCAGAATTAAATGTCCCAAGTGGAAAGCTTTCTGTTATATTTGCCTTCTGATTAAAATATTCCACCATCTGCAATCCAATGACAAAAGAATTATCAAATAGCTTATAAATCGAACAATTAACATGGTGAACTACATTTGGAGAAAATAAAAAGCGATATTCACCGAGTCATCACGTGACACTGTCCCAACATTTTGACAAAAGAGAAAAATAAAAGCAATGACAAAGATTGAATATTTCAAGTTCAACCATACCTCATGGAAACTAAAAACCCCAGAACTGTAACGCCCAACAGGCTCTTGACTTTGAGAATCCTTAACAATGTCCCTTGAAACATTTGGAACAACCACATCATCGTACAACCACAATTCCCTCACGTGTTCTTCATCAAAATGGATCACCCTAGACCCTGCCACTCCTTTGCAATACAGCAACCTGGTATCGCAGTTCACATCGAAGCCTCTACCTAATGCTTCCACTGCGTTGGTAGCAGTGTGCAATGCTGCCACGTGCTCCCCCATCACTCATGAAATAACCGTTCTCAATTGCCTTATGTTCATGCACTCAAATGAGAGACCCACCGAAGGTGAACATTTTATCTAAGGCAGTCCAAATTCAAAGGAAATTAGAACGACCCGCGTAACAAAATTTCGAGAAAACCAAGAAATGATGAGATTTTTACGTTGTTGGATATGTTGCAATCATTGAGGAGTTCAAGGAATTTAAAGTGGAGCGGAAGATCAAGTTCATCAGTCACATGCACACTCTCTTTTGTTTCTCGTTCTTAACGAATTGGCACGATAAAATTGAAGCGATCATGACACTGATGATGTTCATGCACCTCAATCTGAAGCTGCTATGGATCTAAGACCGATGAAGATTCACCAGTATCTTCAATGCTTAAGGCCAGTGCTTTGTCTGTTAAAACATCTCTCTTTCTCTGCTCTGTGTTCTGTTCTTTCTAATGTCTACTTTATACACCATATAAAGAGTTACGAGAAGAGATTGTGTTGTACGTACCAATGTTTTAAAAATCACACCAAATCGATGTGGGCAAACCGTTGACGATGGACTCATTCTTTGAATATTTGAATATCATTTAAATAGAAATTTAATTAAGATTTAACTAATTAAGTTAATATTGTGCGTTGAAAATGGATGGTTTATTTTTTGAAGAGTCAAAAAAACTTATTTAATGAATCAAATTCTTTTACAAAAATTAATTATTATTAATATAAAAGTATGATCAAAGGTCTTCTCGATTCTTTACAACAACAAAAAGGGTCTTCTCTATTCAACTTTCATAGTAAAGTTTTATGAATTAGTCGAGAGTCCAGACAGGGGCATTGACTTGAGTCTTTCGTTTTTGTTTTTGTTTGCATTGAGCTGTCGCTGTACATATTCATTTGAAAATGTTACGTCCACTAGACTCTGGTCCAAACACGTGTATTCACTTTAGTGCTATTTTTCTCTTTTTCCATTTTATATTGTATATGTATATATATCTTGAATTTGTTTGGCAGAATATGTATTTTGAATTTGTTGTATTCACAGTCACTAGTTTGAAAAACACAGATTCCCCTCGATTGCATATAGATTTTAAAGTTTATACGATGATAACGTAAAAATTTTGAAAATTTTAAAGAGTTAGTTAAATAGAGGAAGATAAGGTTGTAAGATAATTATGTTATGTGACGTATAAAGGAATTAGTAAATAAATAATTAAATAATTAGAAATTAAATAATAAATAAATAGTTTAAATATATTTTTAGTCCCTCAAATTTAGAGTAAATTTGTTTTTCGATCCTCAAATTTAAAATTGATGTTTTTAGTTCCTGTAATTTCAAAAAAATTTATTTTATTCCTTATACTCAAATTTTGTTAAAAAATTTATCAAATATTATTGTATAAAATCTACCAATCGGTGTTCCTGTTAGTGAAAATATTACATTAAATTCAATTAATATTGCATAATCGTCTTAATTTGTTACTTTCAAATATGTTATTGGTGATCCGAGGGACTAAAATAAGATTTTTAAAAATTATAGGGACTAAAAACAACGATTTTAAATTTGAGAGACTAAAAACAAATTTGTCTTAAATTTGAAGAACTAAAAACATATTTAAACCTAAATAAATTTAATAAGACAATTTTGAGAATATTTATTATTTAATGGGAATAATGATCTTTAAGAAGTTATAAATACCTACTAATGTGAAATAATATCGGCACCTTTGACAAAAAGTATTCTCTAACCCTAGTAGGCATAACAATCTAACCCGCTCCGTGAGTACTCATCCGAACCAGTCCTGATTTGGATGGGAAAACCCGTGTTTATCGGGTTCGACTTTTCCCCGATTGATAAAATCGGGGCCGGGGGCGGGGACGGCCATTTTAATACCAGCCCTGCCCCCGTACCTGCCCCTGCCCCTGCCCTCGCCTCGCTTAATAATATAATTAAAAAAATTATTTATATATATATAAACCAAAATTAGAAATATTTATATGTAAAACTTTATATTATTTTATTTTCCTTTAATATTTTCTAAAATTTGTTCATATTTATTTAAAAGAAAAAAAATAGGAGTAGGGGTGGGGGCGGGACAAGGAAACCCGAACCCCGTTAGGGACAGGGATGGGTACCCA